CAATAATAATGATAATAATAATAATAAATGTAAAAAACCGCTTGATCTGCTTTGTTCAAAAATATATAGAATTGTAAATATTTGCTGAAAAGAAGACAATTGTGATCAATGAAAACTGACTACTGATGATGACGACGATAGCTTTGATGTTGATCATCATCATCATCATCATTAACAGTCTAGTTCACCAACAGAAAAAAACTTTTCACTTTTTTATTTTTGCTTTAGTTTTTGCTTTCAACCAATTTTTATTTCAATTATTTTAACTATAAAACAAAAGAAAGAGAAACAACAAAAAGTTTCTTTTTCGTCTCTTTCACCATTTTGCACTAAAAGCAGGAAAGAAAAGTGCGGGTATGATTCGGCAAAATAAGCTAAAAAAAAGGAAATAGAGAAAAAATTTGAAAAGTAAACAATTTTTTCCTTGTTTTCTTTCTGCTTTTTGCGTATTTATCTACCTCTTCTTACCTTCGTTATAACAGATGAAAAAAACATCATCTTTATTCGATTTTACTGAAAACACCGCCGATAATAATGTTCAAACAAGGGCACTAACCGTAAGCAGTGACAGCTGAAGCTGTACAACAAAACAAACTCTTCAGATGTTTACTATCTGCAGAACTGACTAATTACAAAAAATTTTTTAAAAAGAATACAATGAAACAGGACCACATAGGAATAATATGTATAGAGTAACCCGATAAACGATATATGCAAATTGACGTAAAAATGCTGAATTTTGAGAACATGACAGTCAAGAGAATATTCAAAATTTATTTTTATCTTATCTATTTTTTCGTCCCTCAGTTTTCATTTCTTTTGCAGAAATTCAATTTTTTTGAGACCTTTTGTAATATTGTGCTAAAAAAACAATTGCTTCCAAAAATCGATAAAAACGTTTTACAATAATCATGGGAAGATAAAAGTGAAAAGCACCAAAATAAAAAATGATACAGACGCAAGAAGGAAGGGGCGTCTACAAACCCTTACCAAGCCATCAGCATTATATTTCATTAGCAAAAGTAAAAAGAGGAAAGCTTCGAGAGAAGAAATGCTACAAAATAAAAAGATAAAGACACATTTGCAAACTTAAGGAACTATTTTTCCGTCCTCAGCTGACTAAAATCATTTAAAAAAATTTAAATGCCTAAAGGATACTGCCTGTTTGACGAGTATCAGAGTGTTTACCGCATATTAACGACACAAAAATGATTGCATAAAGATGAAATCTAAATGATAAGTAAAATTAGAGAAAAAAAAGCCAAAAAGGGTGCAGGAGGTGTAAAACTTGTTCACCGCAGTGATTAGAAAGAACGTGGAGAAGTTTATAAGCCGCAAAGCTGACCACTACTGCACAATGCCTCCACTACCGCTACTGTTGTCGCTGCCAAACACCGCAATTTCTGCAGTCGCGAGAGAAAGCGGCAACGTCCCAACAACAGGATAAAATCAGCAACCCAGACAGGCTACAAGATACGAGATAAAGCCTTGCGCAAAGGAACTGGAAAACTGGGTAGGGGAGAAAAAAGTAACAGGGTTTGGGCCTTCAAGGGTAGGTCAGTGAGTTCCAATTACAAGCCAACAGTACTCGGCATTAACGTGATTCATCAACCGGCAGACAGATTGGTGCACAGTAGTGCCCATCACCATCGTGCAATCACAAAACGCAACTACGGAACCAGTGCAAATAAATGACCAAGAATCAACAAAAGTTACCAGAATACATTCCAAGACGGTGTTATTTTAAAAATCTAATCAAAGAAAGATACCCATGTACGCATAATTCTATTAAAATAGTAATATCAATTTTAATATTGATAGTAATAGTAACAGTAAGAGAAATAGTAATAGAAATAATAACAGTAATAGTATTAGTAACAGCAGCACGAATAGTGGCAGTAATGAGAATAGTGATAGTAATATTAATATTAAAATTGTCATTAATATTAATATTAATAGTAGTAGCGATAATAATAATGATAGTAATAGTAATAGTGACAGAGATAGTGATAGTAACAGTAATAGTAATAGTAAAAGTAATAGTAATAGTAAAAGCAATAACAATAATAAACAAATAAATCAATAAACAAATATACATAAATAATGATGGGTAATAGTAAATGATAATACGCTTATGATAGTGAACAACAATAATAGTAAGTAAAGAAGCCAAAGATAGCAGGGTGTAATCCTTTTCGTTTTATAATTAATTTCAACGAGTAGTCCTTCCAGATAACCATATTATTTGTTAAAATAATTGAATGCGCAAAGAGTACCAGAAAAACACTCATAGCAAAAAACTTTGCTCAAGAAAGGTTATTGAAATTGAACAAAAATGTTTGCAGGAAACGACTACCATCAGTAATTTCTATTGAACAAATACCAAACTGACTAATATTTTCATCCAATTTATCACTCTGAAAATTTCGTTGCGACTTTTTTTAGTTAAAATGGAATGCGTATACTGCGGTAACAAAATGAGAAAAACTTGCTCCAGCAGTAGCAGTATTCCATTTAGTGCAAACCAGAAATTTCCAGAAAAAAATTAAGGCTAGACAAAAAAATAGAACAGAGTTAGAAGAAAAAAACAAATGCAACAGAAGTATATTGAAGCTAATTCAGAAATTACTTTGTTTGATATGAAAAACAAAAACCCTGATCCGAGCCAAAATTAAAATGCAGTTTAGCTGTTCAGTCACCCCAACAACAACACTATCGACAGTCCCTCTTGGTAACAGTGTACAAATAGCGAAATGTAGAATATAAGACAATTTTTCTAAATAAAAATAACTATTCATTTTTTTGAACCGACTTTCGTGTTCTCCAGTTTCGTCTCATTTTTCTTTTCTTTTTTCCGTTCTCTGTCTATTTCTCTTCCATATTTTCAATTCTCACCATAGAAAAGCAGTTTAACTTGCTGTTAATCATTTTATCACATCAGTAGTAACAGACCTTTGTAAATATGCTGAATGGTTTCCTAAGTGA